TACGCACCGAATTCCTACGCACCGATTTCCAACGCACCGAACTCCTATGCGTCGAATTCCTACGCACTGAATTTCTACACTCCGAATTCCTACGCACTGAATTTCTACGCTCCGAATTCCTACGCGTCGAATTCCTACGCACCGAATTTCTACGCTCCGAATTCCAAAATTCCGAATTTCTACGCTCCGAATTTCAAAATTTAGAATTCCTACGCACCGAATTTCTACGCTCCGAATTCCAAAATTCCGAATTCTATAATTCCCGAATTCCAAAATTTCGAATTCCTACGTCCCAAATTCTAGAATTCCCGAATTCCTGCGCCCCGAATTCCTACGTCCCCAAAAAATCCCACAAGTTACAATAAAATGTAAAATAGTATTAGCAAATATTTTCCTCGTAAAAAATAATTTTGCCCAAAAAGAAGTAGCTCAACCTCAAAACCTCCTTTTAAGGAAAAAGAGATACTCGTTATCGAGCTAAGAAATTGTTATTATTAAAATTTCCTGTATATCCCATAATTATCTCGGTATAATTAAAAGAAAGATTGTAAGACTGGAGATAAGGTCGATCGAGCATAGTCGAGGGACATTTAGCTCATTAATGATGTGCGACAATATCGCATAATCGCGCGTTACGTCGCACGTATTATATCATCGTCGTCACGTGCCGCTTTCGCAGCTGTGAACCACGCGGGAATCAAACGCGGATCTTGTGATAAAGGTACGTTTACACGGAACAGCTGTGCCTCTTCTTTCAACGCCGCCGAATGAAACGGATAGTTGCAGAAATGCAAATGTTTGTACCGTAAAGAAACGATGACGTACGAGAACTTGCTCGAATAGCGCTAATTTCAATTTCTTCGATCACGATTACTAGTCATCGATTTTTCTTTCTACGGGTTATGGTTCACGCGATGAATCTCGCGATATTTATGTGTTTGTATAAACCGATAATTTTTGCTAATTTGCGTAAACAATTTGCGGACTATTTTATAACTATTAATTACTGTCTTGTGTATGATCAAATTTTTTCTTGGTGATCGGTGTAAACAAATTGTATAGCAATCTTGTAGTTTATAGATGTTGTGTAGTTATCAAAAGTCGTACAAAAACTGGTCTTTTTATAGAGAACTCCGTTTACAAATACCACGGTGAAAATAAATATTTATTTTCAGTAAGACTCGTGGAAAGTATAATTGTTTAAAAGATAAGAATAATTTGTAGATAATAATAGTTGTAATAATAGTAAGAGCAGTTAATTTGCAGATGTCAGGATTTGGTGTTTAATTTATTACAATTTATAGGACTCTCGTTATATGGCCACGAGTGTGTCGAGCAAGTTCTCACATTTTGGCAATGTCTCTCGTTTTACCTCGTTTGACCTCCATACTTTCTATTTACGGTTATCGTACATGTGCTCGATACTCACGTTGCAAAATCGTTCTCAGATAAAAATATCGAAATGCGATATCGTTCGATTTCGAGAGCAACAAACTGAGCCTCCTTGACCTACCCATTTTCAAAGATGATCTCCGTTCAATCATCCTCGTATCTATCTTTCAACAGCGTGCCAATTGTGTTCGTATGTCATTGACCAGCTCTCCTCACTAATGCTCTTCTACGAATCTATCTAGGGATAAGATCCGATCTAGCTCTAGTCATCATAAAAAGAGGTGTCAAGATGTAGAGATTCTAGATGTAGAAATTTAGAGATGGATATTGAAATGAATTCTGAAATTGATATTGTGATTTTAAGTCCAAAATCATTTTGATATCTGTGAGTAATTTGAGTCCATGTTGTAGGACCTTCATTGAGGAACTCATTGAGGTTATTTGAAGGTTTAAGCAATGTCCCTAGGACTGAACAATATACTGACATCCACAGACACTTGTATATTCAGTGACGTTGTGAGTAATTTTGAGTCCATGTTGTAGGACCTCCATTGAGGAACTCATTGAGGTTATTTGAACGTTTGAACAATGTCCCTAGGACTGAACAATATACTGACATCCACAGACACTTGTATATTCAATGACATTGTGAGTAATTTTGGGTCCATGTTGTAGGGCCTTCATTGAGGAACTCATTGAGGTTATTTAAAGGTTTGAACAATGTCCCTAGGACTGAAAAATATACTGACATCCACAGACACTTGTATATTCAGTGACATTGTGAGTAATTTTGAGTCCATGTTGTAGGACCTTCATTGGGGAACTCATTGAGGTTATTTGAACGTTTGAACAATGTCCCTAGGACTGAACAATATACTGACATCCACAGACACTTGTATATTCAGTGACATTGGATCTAAACTTACTGAGCTTATCAACAAGTTGGGAATCTAGAGATACATGAAGATATATAGCGATCTGAGGATAACAATATGAATATAATTTCCACGTCCATAATGCAACATTCATAATTTGTTAACAGAAGAAATGAAAAATACATAAACAACAAAAAATGCATAAGTGCTCCAAACGAGCTATACTTAGTTCGCATGCTACTCGAAATTGCTTAACGAGCATATCTGAAACCGAACGGATAAACAAATTATTTTAATGGCGTGTTAAACCGTACACTGTCCGATAACGCTCTAATAACATAGTTCTTCCTCAGATAACTTTTTCATATTTTTTCTTGTTTTTTGCCCGGCATTTATGTAACACCGACGCTCCTTTACCCACGGTATCGGGACATGTTAGCACTTTGATAATTGTCTCGCTGCACATGACCGCACTACGATTTAGATCTCATCGGAGGATAGTAAATTTGTACGAGTGACTGTGCCAAGCTGTGGAACGTAATCAGAAGACGTGAATCGAGTTGCAAAAAGAACGCAACTTTATCGTGAACAAATATCGAAATCGCGTGTCACGATAACAAGTGTTTATGCACCGGCACGTGACGTATGTACATATCCGCGATAACGAGTTTCTCAATGTAACTGATAATTTATCGCGATTATCGGAGCCAATAGTTAACAGTTTTTACGCTTGCGTAATCGATGCGCTCGCATTTTCCTATTGCCGTTATCGTTCGCTCGTTAGCGGATCTGTAAAGACGTTATACACGGTTTTGCTTTTACGGAAAAACATTTAGTACCGTCGGTTAATTGGAGGTTATTTTCAATCTCGGTTATTAATGGTTTTGGTAGAGAAATGGGTGTATGGTCTCGGTATATGGCCGTTTTTGGACGAGATTTTGATTAGGAGTGATTTGAGAATGGGGGGATTTGGAATTTGGAAGTTTGCGAATTAGGGAAATAGGAAATTGGGAGATGAGAGGTTTGGAAATTGGGAATTGGGGAAATAGGGATTTGGGAGATTGGAAATTGGGAGATAAGAGATTTGGACATTTGGGAATTGGGGAAATAGGAATTTGGGAGATTGGAAATTGGGAGATAAGAGATTTGGATATTTGGGAATTGGGGAAATAGGGATTTGGAAGATGAGAGATTTGGAAATTTTGGAGTGGGGAAATAGGGATTTGGGGAATTTGGGAATCGGGGAATGTGGGAATTGGGGAAGGTGGGAATTGGGGAATGTGGAATTGGGGAAGGTGGGAATTGGGGAATGTGGGAATTGGAGAATGTGGGAATTGGAGAATGTGGGAGTTGGTAAATTTGGGAATTGGAGAATGTGGAAATTAGGAAATGTGGAGTTGGTAAATTTGGGAATTGGGGAATGTGGAAATTGGGAAATGTGGAGTTGGTAAATTTGGGAATTGGGAAATGTGGAATTGCGGATTGTGGGAATTGGGGAAGATGGGAATTGGGGAATGTGGAAATTGGGAAATGTGGAGTTGGTAAATTTGGGAATTGGGGAATGTAGGAATTGGGAAAGATGGGAATTGGGTAATGTGGAATTGTGAAATGTAGGAATTGGGGAATGTGGGAATTGTCCAATATGGGAGCTGAGGAATGTGGGAATTGTGGAATGTGGAATTGGGGAATGTGGGAGTTGGTAAATTTGGGAATTGGAAAAATCGAGATTTAAAAATTTGAAAATTGACATTTTCATAAATTCACCAACACAGAAATCCCACCACTCGGAAATTTTCCACCTCACAAATCTCACCATTTAGAAATTCATCAATTTAAAAGTATGACAATTCTAAAATCCTAAGAATTACTCGTCACTTTAAAAGTTACTCTTCACCATACTCTACGTCACACACAAAATTGCAATTGGTAGAAAGTCCTATTGCGCCATAGAACGCGTGGCAATATAACGGTCTGTCATAGAACGCGGGCTCTCGCCATCCCACTGTTCTATCGCGTTTGGCCTCATTTTAATACCAGAAGAACTAACAAAATTAATATTTGTCCGGTTAAAACGGGAACGTTGTTTCCTTGAAATTGTCTTAAAAAGATTAGCAACATACAGATCAACACGGTAATTTAGGTTATTAATACTTTATTTTCTTATATAGCACTCTTGTTTTTTACCCGAAAGAGATAAACCTAAAAACTGATACGAGTCAATCAATTTTTTATTCCAATATTAATGTTCGTATGTTCCTAATCTTTCGACTGTTTTATTAATACACTTTCTTTCTTTATCTAATTAATTTAAGTGATTATTTAAATCAAAGACAATTGATAATTAAAATTGCAAAAAATTTAATAATTATTCATAATGGGGGCTGATTTAAACTTAATTATTCAATTATATTAAAGTTTATTGGGCATGTGAATTAATGAAAATTTATTATTCAGTTTGAGAACAATTTATTAATTATTTAGAGGCAGTTAATTATTTATCCTCTAATTATTTAGAGGCAGTTTAAATAATTGATTTTTAGAGTGCTTCAATTACGTCATATCCTTGAAATTATCTCATGACATATGTTCATCCACTTATTGAAAGTTTTGGGAATTTTTATGAATCACTGTTTCATTGTGTACTGTTATTTTGACTTGTGGTTCCCCAAACTTTCGTAGTGACTCTTATCTTAAGAAACATAATATCTTACAAAAAATATTTGACGGTTTCAGGACCTAGCACGTGGGTATCGAAGTTTCCAATGGCCGCCGGCTCCAGACAGAGTCCCGTGAATATCGAAACGGATCGAGTCGAATCCGATCACGAGGCATTGAGTAGCAAACCCCTGCAATGGAAATATCCGGCCACCGCTTCCCGGACGCTCGTTAATCCCGGTTATTGCTGGCGAATGGACACCGACGGCGAGGGCACTTGTAAGGCCATTTTCATTCCGCGATACGCACTTTTCTTTCTTTTCCCAAAGTGAACTGTAAAACTTGATAACAAAAAGACTTATGCCAGTAGCAAACTTTAGAGACACATTGATTGAAGACGACTCATGAGAGTAGCAAAGATTGATGGCAAGAAAATTTATTAGAGGAGCAAAAATTTAAGATATATTGATTAAAGACGACTTATAAGAGTAGCACAGTTTTTATAACAAGAAGACTTATGAGAGTAGCAAGTTTTAAGGACAAGTTGACTTAAGAGAGTAGCAAAACTTGTTAACAAGAAGACTTATGAGAGTAGCAAAGTTTAAGGACATGGTGACTTAAGAGAGTAACAAAAATTGTTAACAAGAAGACTTATGAGAGTAGCAAACTTTAAGGACATGTTGACTTAAGAGAATAGTAAAACTTGATAACAAGAAGACTTATGAGAGTAGCAAACTTTAAGGACATGTTGACTTAAGAGAATAGTAAAACTTGATAACAAGAAGACTTATGAGAGTAGCAAACTTTAAGGACATGTTGACTTAAGAGAATAGTAAAACTTGATAACAAGAAGACTTATGAGAGTAGCAAACTTTAAGGACATGTTGACTTAAGAGAATAGTAAAACTTGATAACAAGAAGACTTATGAGAGTAGCAAACTTTAAGGACATGTTGACTTAAGAGAATAGTAAAACTTGATAACAAGAAGACTTATGAGAGTAGCAAACTTTAAGGACATGTTGACTTAAGAGAATAGTAAAACTTGATAACAAGAAGACTTATGAGAGTAGCAAGTTTTAAGGACATGTTGACTTAAGAGAGTAGCAAAACTTGATAACAAGAA